AGCCGACGCATTCCGAACGCTGGTCTCAGGATGATTGTCAAAATGTTGTAAAATACGATTCCCTGCCTGCAAATCTCTTCGTAACGCTGCTTGAAATTCATTAAAAAGTTTATAAATAAAATAATTAAAATAATAAATTAAATATATTTTTTTCTTTTTTCGTGATTTCCTGCGAAACAAAGCAAAAAGGAGCATATGTCTATAGGACTTTTTTTCTTAGCTTTTTACTCCTCTACACGCTCCCGAAGTTTTGCCATTTAATTTGGAAACACCCTGTATATATATAAAGTCGAAATACGATCTAATTAACACTTTAATTCATTTTTATAATTTTTATAATCGTTGAATTATAATTATCCAGTTACTCATAATTTGTCTTATGATTGGAAGGTGCAGCAAAACGTTTGTAATATTACGTCACTTCGCTGCATGTAAGCAGAAGATTAAGATATATAAGTATATTTATGTAATCGCTAATACAATACACTGAAGGAACGGTTTTGCTGAAGCACCTAAAAATTTAGCTAGATAAAAATTTGAAAATAATTTTATTGGAATAATTTTGTAATTATTTTAGGAGTCCAAACAAAATTATTTTCAAATTTGCACCTAGCTTAATTTTTAAATACTTTAGCAAAACCTTTCCTTCTGTATAACAACGTTTCATGTGGCAAAACGTATCCCGTCAGATTCTTCCAAAATATCGCTACACTGATATAATATTCTCAGCCATAAAATAGTAATAACTAAAATAGTAATAACCTTTATTGCGCTCCCATATATAGCAATTACAACATAAATTTCACAAATTTGCTCTGTTATCGATATACTCGTCGTCGTCGTCTGCGAACTTGATGCCGTCCTCATTCTCACGGATCAGGTCGTAGAAGGAGTCGCGCGATTCCGTCTTTATGTCGCTCTCAACCCCGTAATCAGGGCTCTGAATCTCCTTCTTGGACAAACTGATGTTTAAATTGTCGGTCGTTAATCTCCGTGCTGTCGCCGGTGAGTTCAGTCGCGGTCCCGAGAACTCGATCATCGGAATATTAGTATAATCCGAGAGTTTATTGGTCTCACGTGGTTGCGTAAATTGCGTAAAGTCTCGGTACTTGCACGGGCCGCTCGTTACGTTTAAATTTGTCGTTAAAACGATGTCCGATGTGGGATCGTCCTTAGCACTCTGAAGAGTCCTGTCCTTGCCGTCTACGTATCCCTGAGTCTTCGAGCTTATTGATTTGCCAGACAGTTTGGACGTATTTTCATTTTTTAAACAACGATTCTTCTTGTCGTTCTGAGAAACGTCCTTTGTTTTTTGATTCACGTAAGACTTTGACGTATCATGATGAAGGATTGCATCTTCGGGATATCTCTTGAAAATTTGTTTCGATTTCTCCGATTTATCCTCTGACTTGGCCACAACGCTATCAGCAATATTTACATAGCTATCCTGTGGACCGCTTTTCAAAACGTTCTGTTCCTGAGAGAGATCGGATTTAGTACTATGAAGGCGATTGGGAATACTGCATTGTGTCCTGTCGATTGCAAGTTGACTGCATAGAGACTCCTCGCTGACCCGAGTCCTGGAGTCCTCCAGGATCCGGTGGATCGGCAGCAGGCGTTCGTTCAGTCTGGCAGTTCTGCTTTCGCTGATGCTATCCTCGGACAGAACGCTACCGCCTGACGACGAGTCGTTCTTCGACGACGACGAGGACGTCGAGTCCTGGCGTTGCTGTTCAAGACTTGGTCTACTCTCCTCGACGCTAGACGCGATTTGATGTCGCATACGTCGATACTCGGCTGGGGTCAAGGTCGCGCCCTCGGTGCTCTCCGGCAGTCGATACAACGGACTCGTCGTGCCTTGAAAACAATCCGGACGATCCGCAGACGGATCTTGAGAATCCTCAGACATCGACAACGGGGGTATCCATAGGAGA